TGTTCAGAAATTAATCTATCCTTTGATTTTGTTCTTGCCTTGTCTTTTGTATACAATTATTTTATAAGAAAAAAGGGTATGGGCAATGCAAAATATATTTTTTCTTCTAAATAATGTAATTTCTATATAAGATTTATTTAAGATCTTAACATACTACATTGACGACAACAACATTTTAGAAATTAGAAATAAGAATTTGAACAAAGACAATATTTTTTCAAAGTTGTGCAGAGCAGCTTTTCTAAAGATTTAATAGAAGTAACATCTTTTTCCCCTGAGAGTAAAACTATTATTTTTTATCTTACTTAAAATAAATTCAGTCTTTTTACAGATCTTTGCAGTTAATGTTATTAATGACTATAATGAAGGATATAAACAAGGTGAAAGCTGAAAGGCATGAAATGAAGCATTTATTTGATGGAGTTTGTAAATGCCAGAAATGAGTGGAAAATGCAAATCAAACCCAATTAAAACCAATAATTTGATATACATCATGATATTTTTTTTTCTTTGGGGGGGGGGGTAAAAAAAATTTAGTTGGGGGTAAAAAAAATGTTACCCCCCCCCCTACAGAATCGCCCCTGTTTGTTGTCTTCTTTTATCTAAGAATTGGGGACAGTCTAATAAATAACATAGACATAAAGTTGGTTTTCTGCAAGGTTGTAATGCAAGGAAAGTTAATTGCAGTTGCGTATACTCTGCGTACATATTGAAACCAGTTCTCTCTGGGTGGAATTTGTAAACAGAATAGATACATTAGTGTTCGTTTAGTATCTGAGGAGGTTAAAAGCATTAAATTTTGATAATTTTGATAATTCACATAATAGTTTCCTATGACCAGAATATTTCATTAAATTTTTATGTGAAAGATGGATCCCATGTCAGGCTTTGACATCCGTCTTGTGATTACATTACCGCCCAGAGACAGTACAACGGAGTACAAAAGATGCGTACACCTCTTAAATAACTTTCCTTGCATTACAACCTTGGTTTTTCGGATGTAGACTCGACTAAGGAGGGGGGTGCAGAGGCGCCATGAGCCCTGCAAAAATTACCTCTGAGCCTCCAGATTTGCAGAATGACCTTCAGGCCCTGCAAAACTGTCTCCGTCACTCTTGCTACGTCTCAGGTCTCCACGCCCTGCATTTTGATCTTCACTTGATGTTTTTATTTTTTGTTTACCTTTTATGGCTTAACCAACCAAAAATCAAAATATATCTCTTCATAGTAGACTTCGCAATACTTTAAAGAATCGTTTAATTGAAAAATTTGAAATATTATTTCATTCAATTGATCCTTAGTTGTTTTTATTGTAAAAAGTTTATATAAAGCTGGTATGCATAAAAGACAACCTATAAAAAGGACTTTAATATCTTTGAATACATCATGATTTGAAGATTATATTGACTCTATCGAGTCTTTAGCATTAAATTTAATCATAAAATGCAAATTAATGAGGGTCTGTCCAATAGTAACAGTGTTAACACAAATTCGAAATATAAGGAAGACAATTCTGTGTAGTTTGTATACCGCTGTATATTCCAAGATGTATAAATCTTTTTCAGGAGTTTGCAATTGCTCGCATTTAACCCACGTTCTTCCCTCCCCCACAACCTTTCTACACCTACCGGTCCTCACTCCTCAGTCCTCAGTCAGATTGAAACACTTGAGATGTTAACAACTCTGTCTCAGGGAGCAACCCTGGCTCCTTCATGATGATGATACAGATACCTAGCCAGCAACAGGCGATGCTTTCATCCAGCCCAATGATGTTCTAAGAGTTCCAAAATTTTTCATAGGTAATCCCTCAACCCTGAAATGATAAGACCGAGAACTCTCCCCCTGATCTGAAGCCTGGAGTGAGCAGAAACCTGATGTTCAAGTTCCTGTTGATATGCACCACCAACATAAAGCTCTACTACGCTCCCATGATGTGATTACAGATATTCGTCAATAGTTCCTTTGTTAATTTCTAACCAACCAATTTCAACCCTTTCTGGAAAAAATATTTTAAAACACTTGCCTTTTTAAATAAATCTTAAGAAATATCCTTATTGATCTCTTTTATTTTACTAAGATGACTATTAAGTCAACAAACAGGTTTCAGTGTAATCAATGAATTTTCTCTCACTGAAAGAAAAAATATTTATTAGTAGATTTAACTTATTTAAACTTAAGTACAGGACATATTACGCTGGCCTGTCCTGTATAGTATAGCATGTTATAGATATTTAGACTATTTTTTTTAAAAATTTCAACTTTTTAAAAAGTAGTTCTTCAATGTTTCTAAAACATAAGTTAAAAGCACAAATTCAAGGATTTCACAAAAATTACTGTGTTTTGTGAATATCGTTTGATTCATACCCATGTGCAATAATATAAAATTCGTCTATCTTTATTCAAAACTGCAATAGATTTTTCGAAAAAAAGGTTTTTGCATTTCTGTCTATTAAGAATCATAATCAATAACTTTGTATCCAAATCAGTTATGAATAAAATTATTTCCACATCGCGTATTCTCTGGACACGCGCTATTATTGTTTTTTATTTACCAGGGAATAAGAATAAAGGGAAGGGAAATGGCGCTGGTCTGGCATGAGAAAGCCAGTCGCACTTCTTTTCAGATGAGTTCGTTATTACACACGCACACTATTTTGGTACAGACACACAACATGACTACAGTCAAGGAAATTGCAGAATACTGTCGTCAATTATAATTAAGCTTGAATAACGAGTAGTTTATTGTAAACATTATATTAGATTTATATTAAACTTATTTTCAATTAAACAATTACCAATCAACAAATGTACTCTCTTAGACTTTACAAATACAGAGATTCTCATTCTCATTTCATAAATGCAGTTTTTAGAATTACAAATGGTTAACCGTAATTGCTTTTATGCCGATTTTATAAGTGTTCAAAAGTTACCACCATGATGGTTCAATAGTTCAATATAACTCCAGGGACCAGATTTAATGAATATGCAGAAGCAGCTGAACCGCGCAGATAAAGTTCAACTATTCATAAATTAAATCTTGTCTCAGCATTTTGGTATGATCCGGCATACAAAATCTGAATCCGGTGTTAGCTCGATAAAAGCAAAAAACATAAAAGATAAAATACGTTGCACAGAAGTGACAATATGAAGAAAAAAAAGTTTTAGATAGCATTTATTAGCTTCTTAAATTAAACTGTAATTTAAAAATATTGATTTAAAAACATTAACCATGTTTAATATTTAATAATATGAAATAACAATATCTTTTTTAGGCATTCATCAGAAACTGTCTCCTGCAACACAGTAAATATCCATACAGAAGATAGATAAATCTGAAATAGAAAAAAAATATTTTCAATATCATGAAATGTGAAAAGTTGAATTTACTATATCTTTTGATGGGGGCTAAAAGAGCTGATCTGTAGTTTAAGGATTTATATTGACTTATATATATTTTCTAATACTGTATTGTACAAAAATTACTAAAAAATATATTTTGTTTTTAGTCAAGGGTCATAATTTGTTTGTTGATTTAACAAACCATAGATAGAAAAACAAATATGTTCCCAAAATATTTATTAAACCCTTAGCTTAAAAAAAATATCATGACATGAATTGAATACCTTGAAGAATTGGTTAGAGATGCTGCTCCATATACTGCTTGATGGTCACCTAAATAAACAAGAAGGTACTGCTATTATGTGTCAGTGTATCCATAAAACTGTTGTTCAAAATCTGGGATGCGTTTATAAGAATAAGTGGTGTGGTGCTTTTATAAATCTTACCTTGTATAACATGAACCATGACTGCTGCTCTTGGAAAGTAAGAAGATGCCAGATGTGGAAGAGAGCATGAGTATTTACCAGAATCTGATAACATTGCTTCTTTTACTGTAATCCATAATCAAAGGTATATTAACCTTGATCATTTAATCTTAACTTACCAAGTGGTTTTTTTGTTTTAAAAGGTTATTTATAATTACTTAATTTTTTCACATAAAGCACCAACAAAATATTTAAATTCTGATCAAAATTAAAGGACATAATTTTACAAAAATCCAATGCAGACACGATAAAATTGAATTACTTTTTTTCTTTGCATCTTCTTTTTAATTTCAATTTAAAAGCAATAATTTTGTCAAAAAAAATGAGTTTTTGAAACAAACTCTACTTTTATTATCCCTATATCTTTGCAACGTAATGTCGTAGACCTTTAATATTTCAAACTATGAATTGTGTTCGATCAATAAGCATTAGTTTTAAATTTCAAAGGTTTACAACACCGGTTCAAAGATAAAAGGGATTCAAAAATTTGAGTTTGTGGCAAAAACTCCTTTCCTTTTGATATCTTCGATTTAATAAATGCTGAAATGACAAATTACATTTCTGCCAAAAACTGCAACTTTGATCAAAGTAGTGCTGATGATATTATATAGTTTTGTTCAAATGCAAATACTGATATTTCTACAAATAATATATGTTTTCATAGATGCACTGTAAAGTTATTGTTGACTTTTTCTCTGTTGGTATTTTGTCATGTATATATTTTAAATGTCAGACACACTTCAAGACGTAATAATTCATTTATACAAACTGTTTCATGATTCAAGCTAAATCACCAATCAAACCATTTTCTAAAATTTAAATTAATGGATGTTTGAAGTTTTTCTATGAGTTTGATTATCTAATACGAATTACTTCTGCTCAGTTGATAATTTTAACAATGCAACGGTACTAATGAATTTAATTTTCTATTTTTTATTTGAATCTTCATTTCAAATTAGGATTAATTTTATAAGGTAATCATAATTTTTATCACAGATTACATGAATGATATTTACAACGTCTGTAGCAAATCTCCGACTTAGTATAACATGGTCGTAATTTAAACTTTAAAAATATATACTATTAGACATTTCTTTTATTTTTGATTTTTTCCTAGAAGAGTAGATATAATTTTCTCCGCTTCTACCTGAGTACCAACACTGAAAAAAATGATCTAAAAAAGTCAGGTTTAACTATATACTTATAATATAAAACTCGAAAGCTTGGGATCTGGTTAACTTGAATTTAAGTAAACAATAATATACAATAAAAGGTATAACATAGTGTTATCAGAATAAACTTTAATGTATGTGTATTTTAATTTTAGAAGGCGTCGTTTCAGTATTATTTTGTTATCTGATGCTTTTTATATTTAGAGTAAAACTATGTGAAATATTTAAAATCTCTGTATTAACTTTAAACAAATTTAGATACTTGACACTCAAATCTACAACGCAGAGAAAAAGAAATAAACTTAGAAATAAAAATATTGATAAATTACAATCATATCTATACTTTCCGCAATAGAAAACTTGGGAGCCATTTTGATTCTGACCTTTCTAGCTCCAAGAAAAGATAACTACTTTATTTTTGATTTTTAAGTAACTCAGGTATCACCATAGATGAATTGCAAGAAGTAGTTGACCTACGCAGATTAAGTTTAACCACTGAATTTAAACTTGACTTGCTGTTTCACAATATCCGAAAACGAACTTGTTCAAAGCAAAAATTAAGATTATTAAAGAATTTAAGTAGATTAAAAACTTAACAATGAAATCAGAATGAATAAGAATCCTATTGTTTGGTAATGAAATTCCTATACAATGTATATCCAGTACTATGTTAAAAACTTAAACAAAAAAAAACTGATTTACATAAAAGCATAGAAAATCAGAATGAATTCTTCAAGTTTGAAAGTCATAAATTTTCACTTTTAACATACAAACTAGGTTTCAACAACGCAACATGGTGAAAAGTTTTACGTCTCCCAAGGGAACTTTCCATGCAAATGTTAGTAAAATGTATAAAATTGGAAAGTGTATAAAATTTGGATAAATTCTAAAATCATACAGTGAATCCCAGATATATAAATACATAGCAAGAGTTTTTTTTATAATTTCGTATTACATTAGATCAAATGTTGCGGAAAAATGAGTTTAATATTAATATATCAATTGCATTCATATTTCAGGGCTATTACTTTACCTTGAATTAAAAATAAAAAGAAAATTCTTTAGATTTTTCATAAAACTTATGATGGTCTATATATTGATATATCTGGGATTCACTGTAAGAAATATATTGATATTATCTGGGATTCACTGTAAGAAAGCTGATTTATGTTGGAAAATTTTGTTCAGGAATGGTTTATATTGATTTTTTATTTCCAAATTAGACTTAATTTTAAAACCATTTAATCCAAAGAAATATTGCAATAAAAAATTCAAATTGTCCATACAATTATGATACGACGATTTAATATCGGATAATTTACTATTTGTGCAAAAGAATTTAACTTGAGTTTGTGGCAAAGACTTCCTTTAAGGCTGATTTTAAATCATTTAAAAAAATGTCTTTAAAGGCATTTTTTTAAATGCTTTAAAAGGCATATTTTTTGAACTGCTATTTTAATGCTTTAATTTTAATTGATTTTTGTGCTTAATACTAATAATATTCATTGTGTCCAAAAGAAGTTGAAATCGAACATGTTTAATTAACATATGTTTATAGCTTAGTTATTCAAAAATACAGTTTTACCTGACGGAGTGTCTCTTATGTAAGTCGATCACATTTCCGTCTTTGATCCACATAATGTTCGTGTGAACTTTTAACCACACAGTTCCGCCAGACACTCGTCGTATAACACAGCTAAACAAATTTTGATGAAGGTTAAAACATTAAGAATATTTTCCAGTTTAGGACTGTAGAAGTATTGATTTCTAACTTTAACGATTTGGTGTCAAATACAGCCTTACTCCATGCTACTTCTAAATCTTTTGTAGATGTAGAATTACATGCATGCAGGTCAGGGAATAGGAATATAGGGAAAAGAAATAGCGCTGGTCTGGCATGAGAAAGCCAGTCGCACTGCTTTGCAGACCAGTACGGTAACCTTACACACACTCTTCTGGTACAGACACACAACATGACTACAGTCAAGGAAATTGCAGAACAATGTCGTCAATTATAATTAATTAAACTTGAATAACGAGAAGTTTATTGTAAACTTTAATAAAATTATATTCCTTGCATGAAAATTTGGCTTATAGTGTTGACTTAAATATGTAAATAATATATTACATGCATATTAAACTTATTTTGAAGTAAACAATTAACAATAAACATATGTAATCGCCTGAGCTGTACAAATACCGAGATTCTTACGTACTGTATAAACCTACAGTGCACACCTTTGGTACGGTAACCTTACACACACTCTTTTGGTACAGACACACCCCCATGACGTTTCCGCCCCCTGATGCAGGTGCAGAAAACGAGCTTGATTTTACACTTACTGGCAGTAGGATTCGAACTACTACATCTGTATTATACAGCTTTCTTATTCGCTTGCGCTTGCTCCATCAATCAGTAGTAAGGGTTTATCAGTGCTTGATTTATCACTAAAAACGTACACTGTCCCCTCCTTATAAAACCCTCACAGAATATCTAAAAAAAGGTTTGAGAAATGGTTGCAGGCAAGGGCAGAAAAACGTTCTATTTCTGCCGGAAGGCAATTAGATAGCTCAGAAAAGTAAATGAAGCTATCAATGGATCACTACTAAAGAAGATATTGACACCAGCCTTTGACCTGGGATTCGAAAAGAACTACTACCAGGAGATGTACAGTACACCTGGTAACCCAAAGGATGGGAATAATGTATGAAAAAAGGCAAAACTAAAATCCTCCCCAAGCCCAGATGGGATCGCCATTTGATGCTATTCAAATACTGTCTCAACCACATTTTAGCCTCACTGTAGGATAAAGTGAATGTAAAAGAATCTCTCTCACATCTTTAATTTTGCATACAACTATACCATCTCCTTGTGACAAAGTTTTTAACAGTGAATAATTACATTGATAAGAAAGTACAAAAGGCCTGCCGGGAATTAATCACACTAATCAGCATAATATCGTTCTTGAAAAGAAAACTGTCCAACATCTTTTAATTTAGAAGATGCATTTGGTTCAGTGCCGCATCCTCTCAACATACATACATACATAATAGATTTAATTCTGCACCCAGGGGCGTATTCAGGGGGGCTATGGGGTCTCAGCCGACCTGGAAATGTATAGACTTTGATTTTTTAGGGGGGTTTTAGTCCAGAAAGTATAAAAACCCCGTTTTTCAACTTTGAACTGTGCATCCTTCATAAGGGGGGTATATAGTGCGGATAGAAGAGGTGGAATAGTATTAAGAATGCGAGAAACAAGCTGAAAACAATTGATATAGTGAGAACCCTCACTACCCCAACCACTGTCTGTTTTTAGAGAGACCCCTCCCCCCAAAATTGAAACAAAATCTGTATGGGAACATTTTACACCAATATTTATTTTATTAAACAGTAAAACAATGTTGCACCAATATTTATTTTATTAAAAAGAAAACAATGTTACACCAATATTTATTTTATTAAAAAGAAAACAATGTTACACCAATATTTATTTTATTAAAAAGAAAACAATGTTACACCAATATTTATTTTATCAAACAACAAACAATGTAACACCAATATTTATTTTATTAAACAGTAAACAATGTCATATTAATATTTATTTCCACTAAAACTGTATTTTTTAGACTTGAAATAAATGCATTTACGTATTATGGAATAGAGGAGCCATAAACCATCAATCGACTAATCACCTAACTAACCAATCAACTAATCACCTAACCTACCAATCAACTAATCACCTAACCAACCAATCAACTAATCACCTAACCAACCAATAAACTAATCACCTAACCTACCAATCAACTAATCACCTAACCAACCAATCAACTAATCACCTAACCTACCAATCAACTAATCACCTAACCAACCAATCAACTAAACACCTAGTCACGGACGCCCCGCTGAAGTTTCAAAAAAATTTAGTTTAAAAAGCTGCCCAAAATATGTTAGAGTCTAACAATCTTAATATATGTTTATAATTCCAAATTACAAAATTGCTTTTAAGGAAACACGAACAATAAGCACTGAAAATTGCAATTGAGCTGAAAGTTTGGCCCTATGGAATAAATGAGTTTATGAAGTGAAAAAATTGAAATCTTATTATTGAAAATTGGGAACTTTAGTTATCGTCATCTTTTCCTGTAATATTTGATTCTTATTCAAAACGTTAATCTCAGATTTTCTTGGAATCCGTCCGGGGTAAAGTTTTTACGCTCTTTACGCACTTATACAATATAACATAACACTGATATTAAAAAGATAGTAATATTGTACCATATAATGCTACAATCTTAGCTCAACTAACCCTTTTCCCTCTAAATCATTATAAGAAATATGGTTTATGCTTGGATTGATAAAGGAACTGAGTACTTGCCACAAACTGATTATATTCTTTAATGTATTAATGAGTTTTCTCGCCCCAAACTCTAATTTTCAAATCCTTATATCTTTGCATTCTGATGTCGCAGACCTTTGATAGTCAAATAGTCAAAGTTTGAAATATCAAACCGTTACACATTAGGTTTCTAAAATATAGGAATTAGAACAAGTATTCAGTTCCTTTTTGTAATATTGATCTGGCTTCAATATTAGTATACCCTGGGTTGATTACACGAGTTTATGAAGCTTGTGATTGGATGAGAGTAAGCAATAAACCAAAGATAACAGGCAGTATAAAAGATTAAAGAGATTGAATTTCATTGGAAAAACTTAGTTCATTTTGTTTAAAGAAGTTCTAAAAGGTAGTATAGTTTTTTCGTCATTTTTGCTGCATATATTTAGGGATGTTAACGTTTTCATTTTTCAGAAAAACGATCGTTTTGTTATGATAACGACGACGAAAAATCGAAAACAAAGCGATCGTTTTTAAAAATGATCGTTTTTTTTAAAGTTCGTTTTTTAAAAATGGTCGTTTTTAAAACGATCGTTTTTCAAAACGATCGTTTTTATAAAATTCGTTGTTTCGTTAACGATCGTTAACGACGACCCTTC